AAATCAACTCTAAACCTTTCTCTTCAATCCAATGAATTTTCCTTTCGGAAAATTCGCGCCAAATTTCCCGGAAATATTGAAATTTTTCAAAATCATTTGCAAAATTAAAATTTTTCCGGACGACTTGCCCTCGGAAAAATTTCTAAAATAACCAGAAAAATAATATTGCCAGGGTGAAACGGAGACAATGATGTTACCTAATCACCCCCCAACGGAGAATTCCCCTCGGAAATCCAAATGGATGCGAAAATTGAGTGGATCCCCGATCAAAACCAAGAGCATCTCCAGGGAAATGTCTGACCCGATGGTCCACGGAACCACACCGATGCCCATCCAACGAGCAGCTACATTGCCTACACCCCAGGAAGCCGAGGATCTGGGAAAAATAATTCAAGAGTTTGAGATAAACTACCTGTCGCCGACGAAGCAGATGACGCAGCAGGAGGTAGAGACAACTGGTAAATTCGTTAAAAAAATGGTAGCAGCGTTTGAGCAAAAATACAAGAGCCTCAAAGAATCCGAGGTAATTACCCTAAATTACTAAATAAATACCACCAATGATAAATGATAAATTCCTTGTCATCCTTTTTATTATTGACCTCTTAATTTGCAGACTGAAGCCACCGAGAAGCTCTTAAAACGTCGCAGCTTGCCAGCGGTGTCTGAGCAGCACCAGGAAGCCCGTCACAACTTCTTCAACGAGACATACGTGATAAAACCCACAGAGGTTTGCACCACGTACCACGAGGATAACCTCAACGTCTCCTACAATCCCCTAGACGAGACCATAGACATCAGCAGAAGTTCTTTCACAACTCTAGACCTGAGCAGAACTTCTTTCCTGATGGACGAGGAACTGTCCTCGACTCCAGTAAAGTCCGAGAAGGCCCCGACCCCAGTAAAACAGGTATCACCACCTCCAAGAGATAATTCAAGAGCTCCAAAAATTGTGGGCGCCTTCCTGAAGACGCCCATCGAGGTGGAAGACACATCGATCGACTGGATCCCCATAACTGGCAAGAAGCTGCCACGAAAGCACTCGTTCAAAAAACTCCTGTCCATTCTGACAGGTAGAAAATCTATCCCCAAGGGCAGCAAGCTCTTCTGCTCCCAATCCCACACAAATTTAAGTGAGGAATCCCCCAAGGAGCACCACGACTCTGGCTACGACGAGAAATCCTCATCAACATCATCACTCACATCTCTGGTATCATTCTCAGATATTCTTCATCACCAGGAGAATTATCTCTCAGACATCGACAAGAGAACGTCAGTCTCGACATTTCATGTCCCCAAGAAGACGGAGGACAATCCGGAGATCGGCGATGATTTCTCAGAGACATCGAGTGAGACATCAAAGAAACTCGTCTTCGAGGAGATACCGAGATCCGAGGTGCGTCTCTCTCTGGGTCCAAGTTTTCCCTTGAAAGCCGTTATCATGCGACAAGCCAGTGGATCAAGTCTAGGATCAGTGGGATCAATGACTTCCCTGGCATCCGGTGATATCGATGATTTTGAATTGAACTCTGACGATACACCAGTAGCTTCACCACTACCCAAACATCCTTACGTCTCCTCCAAGGACAATCTTGATGAGAGTGATGACTCCTCTCAGGACATCACTCAGGTCGAGCTGCGACAGCCCTCGTGGAAGTTCCTGGATAATACTCTGTACTATGATACACCCAGGAGTTATTTGTCGAGGTCTGAACCGGGAATGAATTCATCGAGGTGGAGCAACTTCGAGGAGGCACACGTTTATGATACACCTGTTATCAAACTACCTCAGAGACCCAAGTCCAGTGTCTATGAGGATGCCTTGTCTCTCAAGAGGAGAAATGTTGGGGCTTATTCTGGGGGAAGAGCCTCGGAGTATTATGGCTTCCAGGAGGACGAGCCTCATTATGCCACTGTCAAACCTAGGAATATCAAAATTCTACCGAGCAAAGATCTACTCAGATCCATGGGCGATCTATCCTACAACTCCAAGGGATCGCGTTATCAAGGATATGATCACCTCCCGATGTTTTAATTAATGATAAGAGTAATTGGGACGAGCAGAGTCAAAGGTGAATATTCAATGAATTTTTAATCACGAGGAATATCGATTTATCACGAAAACTGTTGGTTTTGGGATAAAATATCAAAAGCACTTATTTCTCGGAAATTTCGTCAACCACAAAAAAGTTTTTTATCATTTTTGCATCAGATCGATGGTTCACGAGATAATGAGCAATTACTATTTTTATTATGTCAGTTTATGGTTTAAGAATTTAGCTTGCCGTTTTGATTTGGGGGTGGATTTATCTCGAAAACTATTGGTTATGAAAAAAACATGAAGAGGACATATTCCCTGGAAATTTAGTCCCCCACAAAAAAGTTCCTCAATGTTTCTTCCTCAAACCGATTGTTCTCGAGATAATCAACAATTACGAATTTTATTGCATCAGTGTATCTTTTAGGGATTTAGCCTGGGACTCTTATTTATGAAGATTGACAGTTCTACGCTGTGTTTTTTTTTCTTGAATGAAATGAAGAGATAACTCGGGACAGTCGAGCCACGCGACAAGTCCTTTGAGCCTTATCGTATTTTTAAAGGAGAACTAATCTTTCGTATTTGAGGGGTCAAATACTCGAAGTCGAACTGGTGAATCCAGAGGGATAAAAAATCGTGATACTTTATACGGGAAAAGACAGGCGCATTGATTCGAGGAATTTAAACTCAATTTGAGGGATTCTTGGGGTGTCTGTAAAGTGACACATCACCAAAGACTATTTAATTCAAATTTATACCTATTTTTTGTGATTTTATCAGCTCCCAGCGTCTCCAGTATTTGCAAATGCGAATAGTCGATGAGATCGCACGATCCTAGGGATTAAAATACAATTATTATTATTAACATCATTGTAAATATCTAGGAAAGTGATATAAATTAATGTAAACAATTAATTCATTCGTCTAAAGCATTTGGCGTTAAAAATTTTATCCTGACTAGATGCATTATGAATTTTTACGATCGTAATCGAATGTTTTTTTTTTTTTAATTATTTTTAAAATAATCTGCGGCTGGAGTGATCAAGAGATTAATCAAGTCCTCGAATGTTTAGAGATTGTAATAATGGGGGGAAAAATTTACAAGTGTAAGTTAATTCTCGATGGAGAATGAATAATGTGACTATACGATATTAAATATTGTGCATATCAGCGTGAAACAGTATTGAGCAATTACTTCCTAAGCATGTGATATAAAAATAATTATTGGATCCAATATTTCATAATTAAGCCTGAGATATTTTTACATTACTGCTTAAAAGTACTGTCACTTTACTGTGGCATTATCACGAAATTTTTGAGAAAATTGGAAATATTTTAATTATTGTAAGAGCTATTCTGTACTGTAGCATATAAAAATGGATTATCAATAAACTTTACATGTGTAAATATTAAAATCCCCTGAGTTTTCATTATTTATTTAATCTTTATCTCCATTTTTCATCTATCGATTTAGAATAATTTTTGTCCCGAAAAATTCACTGACTCTATCGATATATCGCTTTATCTCGAAAAGTATCGGCTGGTGGTGAAAGTGATAGGGGACTTTTTTCTAGATTAGAAAATTTCGAAGAGAAAAGATCTTGGCTAATTTTTGGGTGGAATCGATGGTTTCGGGGAGAATTGAGATGAAAGGGCGGGTGTTCGATGTGTTTTTTTAAATCTTTGAGTTTTCCCTCGGAAAATTGAAGAATCGGTGGAGAAATTGAACGAATGACATTCCAATAATATTTCTCGAATATTGACTCAGTATCTACATTTCATGTTTCCAATGAGAATCTCACGTTCTCCTGGGTTTGAATGAATGCAAATATTCGTAGCATTTTTGCATCCCAATGAGTTCAGGACTGACGTGAAACCCCACGACGCGAAAAACTTTTTCAATAAATGTAAAAAAAAAGGGGGGTTGTGTAAACGAGGTATTATACAATGTTTATACTGCTGAGTGGTTTAGAAGGGCCTCATGTTCTCAGACAAGTGTTGGAAATTCTCTGGACAGACAGGTGGTACTCATTATCTTTTTTAATTGGCTATTCCTGTGGAAATTGAGTCGGAAAATTTTCCTGTTTTATTTTTTCCGTGAATTTCAAAAATGAAAAATATTTCCACGGTATTTGGATAGACAGTAAAAAAATAATTGTTGAATTTTTAATTTTGTCGGGTAGAAAGGTGGTTTTAACTTTTCGCCCTTGTGAAATATGTGAATACTTTCCACACTAGAGCGGAAAGTATTCGAATGACAAAACACAACTTTCCGCACTTTGTTTTCATTGAAAAAAAAAAAATAACCAAAAATTTTGGGGCCAAAAGAAAAGAAAAAAAAAAAAATCAGAGTTTCTCCCTAATAGCCAATAAACCCTCATGACAATTACTCTCGGTTAGTGCCAATGAATTAAGCAGACAGTGAGACTCTAGAAACGATTCGGGAATAGCTGAACCATCGAAATAGGTTTGTCCTTTTAGGACAGACAGCTCTAACGACGCCACGACTTTTTTCCCCTTGTGCAGACGGGAAAAAGATTCCAAGGATCAGGAATTTTCCTCCCGTTTATATCACATGGGAAAATAAATGCGGAAAATAAAGAAGAAAACATGAAAGACGTGATGAAAATAATGAATAAAATTGTCAGGAAGAATTCAACGGGATGACTTCATTAATTCAATTGAGAAATAAAATTTTATCTTGTCTTATTTAATCAAGAGTTGATGGAATCAAGTCCTTCAGGTTCTCCTCGACCTCTGGAAAACCTCAACTCTTAGAATTCTATAATTTTCCATTTTCAATCAACAATAATCAATAGCTCCTTGTTATCCATTAATTCATTAATTACTCTCATGATTAATTAATATCCATCAATTTTTTTGTGAGATAAAAATAAAATTGAGTAATTGAACTGAAATTCGTGAATTTTCCATGGAAAAATCATGAAATATTGATGAAAATTATGATTTCGATGATTTTTCCAGGTAAATCATCAGTGAATCACAGAATTTTGAGATTGATAGCTGGAAATGTGGAAAGTAATTTCATAAGAGTGGATAAAACCTTTTTTTCAATTGTCAATTGAATTCTTAAAGTGCCTGATGCTTCATAGAAATATAGAAAACCCATTGGGTATGCGGGAAATATATAAACATACGTTTCACATGAGGTGGAGAGGACTAGGGCAATTTTCCGGGGTGATGGTGTGGAAAATTGACGCTCGCGTCCACCGAAGATTCCCCCAGGTACGTGTTTCACCCTTTCGTCGTCATCTGACCGTGCAAATATGTTCTTTTATCCGAATTCAAACAGTCTTGAGGCTCCACAGGTGCTCGATTCTCAGCATTAACCCCTTGGAAAAAAAAAAAAAAATCTTAAAAAAAAAAGTCCAAATAACAAAAAATTCAGCCAATTTTCCATGAAATCTTCATTTTGTTACTTCTATTAATTTCTATTTCATAATCCCATTTTTAGGTTATCTCGAGAGATCGTTGATTAAATTTTATAATTAATAGGGGTTGCTGGGGTAGAATGGACAGCAATTTTTCTACATTTCTTCATTAAATGTTGGTAGACAATTGAAAAAACGATTTTTGTTTTCCAAAAAATCAATTTGACATTGAGTCTGACAACAATTCAATGATTTTCAATTCTAAAAAAGACATTCGATAGTCTCAATACCTAATATAAAAATTTAAATAAAAACACCTCCATATTACCCCCCACTCCCTTTTTTAATTTCGATATTAAATATTTTTTCAATAGAATTTTCGCTGATACCTTGAGTAACAAATCAAAATGAATTCCTTCGATAAAATATAAATCCTCAGCCGAATGAATTGCCCCAGCCTAACTTGAATAATTAAATTCGAGACGTGAATTCAGAAAAATTTCGATGCTCTGTTGATTCAGTTGAAGGGGCATGTTGACGACAAGCTTTTCAAGTTGGTGTTTAGCTGGTGCTCCACTGGGAAAAGAAGCGAGTAAAAGAGGTCTGGACGTGACTCAACTTGGATCTCAACACGAGGTGCACAAGGGATGAAGAAAATAAAGTCCTGCCACAATCACGTTGAGGGTAGGTAAAGAAAAGTAGATATAAAATTCAACTGGCTCTCGTAAATCCATCAGGTTGGTGGTAGAGGGTTTGTACTATTGCCTTGCCATCTACACGTCCAGTGATGAATAGCATTTATTTTTCATCCCTCACCTATTTATTTTTTACTTGATTCTGGATCTTTTCACTGTGGTGTCTCGCTGAATTGTAGGAGAATCACTAAATACGTCGTCAGGGTAGCCGTTATCTGTCAACAATTTTAAAAAATTCTCCCATCACTAAACAATTAATCAACTTATCTAACAATTTGTTTATATGTTAAGAAACTATAAAAAAATACTGAATTATTGCCTTCAATAGGTGAAAAACATTTTCTCCCATCGAAAACATTTCAAGTGAATTTCAACTCAACCATTTTTCCTGAATTTCTCGAAACCGAGGACTCAAATAAAAATTTTCATAATAACAATTTCTGTACCCCCAAATCAGAGCTACAAAAAATGTTATAACAAAAATATCAGTATATGCCCCAGTTCACGAGATATTGATTGAAAATTCATGAAAGTCTTGAAGAAATTGTTTTCTGTTGACATTTTCAGAAATATATTTATCCCCCGTTCAATTTTAAAAATTTCTCACTCAGAATCGGTTTGAAAATCCGTTTGAGAAATATTTTTCCACCTGTAATCCTCGACAAACCCCTAAATCTCCACACCCTCCAAACACATCCTATAATCCGAAAAGAAAATCCCTTCACATATACCAAAGTTACATTAGGATTTCCAGCAACAGCAAACGCGAAATGACGAGAATCTCCGTTCAAACGGCTTCAAATTCACCCCTAGATATATATTTCGTCACGTTTCCTATGTATATCTCTCCACAGCCCCTCCTATTTTCCGGACTTTCAGATATCTTGCCATTACAATTCCACTGGGTTCTTTGCTTTATCTCGAACAAAAAAAAAAATTAGAGATTTTTAAATCCTGGAGGACAGTGGGTGGATATTCTATTGTAATCCCAAGAAGAAAATATTCATTTGTATTAATTTAGCTCGAAACTGAGGAGACAAACGACTCTCTTCTTTTTTTTTCTCTGCTATCCATGCATGAGAAAGAAGATTATGAAATCCAATTTGGGTTTTATGGGTGTGTAAAACTTGGGGGAATTTTTTTATTATTATTTTACTGGGGTCTTCAGTTTCCGTCATGGTGTGGAGACGTCTGGCAGAAGGAAAATGTCTCGTAACTCATTTAAACAAATCTATAAACAAATTGATAATTATGACGTCGAAAAATTTAATTAGCCAAAAAATGACAAAGAATTTGAATTAATTCATTTCAAACGTGGAAAATTTATGGCATTAAAAACTCAAGTGATTTTTTCAAACTTTAATGAATTTTCGAGGGATTATTCTATTTAAATTCACAGTTTCCTCGATTTTAATATTAATTACTCACCGAGCGAAGGAGAGGGAGATTAACGTCAAAACAACCAGCAGCTGTAAAATCCAGCCTTCTCATCTTCAAGTGCAGAGAAGTCTCGACAATCTGTAATTTTCCAAAAATTTCCGTAATTTTCGATTAACAATTCCCAATTACTCGAACAAAAAAAAACAAAAAAACAAAAAAAATTTACGACTAATTCATAAATACTTCATTTATCAATTTATCGTTGTTTAACCAGAAATGTTAAATAATTTTTTATGGCTGCCTGAATATTTTTTTTTTATGCAGATAAATAATTGCATTGATTACCAATCCTCTGTCCCTGGTGTAGAGCCATCGTTTCCAGGAGAGCATAATATATGCCATCTTGCTTGCCTGAAATAAAATTCAGTGTCAATACCTCGATCATGAAATAATTATTAACAGTGAATCATAAAATTGATGATGATTATTTATTTCCAAATGTATAACGTGAATTCAACGAGATCCCTAGCGATTTGAGGGATTTTTGAGGAATAATTTTCCGAATTATTCAGAGAAACAAAAATTGATGGATAAAATGAGATGAAAAATCTCTACCTCTGAACAACAATTCAATCGTTGAATTATTTTCTCTCTCATTACCTCATCTGTTTATAATCGCCATAATTGTTCCGCGAGTTGTACAAAATTTTTCGGATTATTTGTAGAATTAATGGAGCACTCCAGACACTCGGGGATTTTTTCGGACGAATTGTTGGTGAATTTGTTGTTTAATTAGCACAAACCTCAGTGGATGCCCAGTCGCACGAATAATGCAGAAGAATAAGTTGAGCTGTGAAGGCAACGGTCCAGGAAAGCAAGCAGAAAACCAGTGCCCAGGCATTTCCAGGCTTGAGGATCCAGTCAATGACGAAATAAAGATTGAAGACTAGGTGAAAACTCAGATTTATCACCCAAGCCATCAGTGACCACGAGTACATGGACACGAGAGCCTCTCCCATCACCATCAGGTCATCGTGGAGACGCTCGATTGTCTTTAAATAGGAAAAAATCATTTTTTTAATATTATTATCAGGAACAATGATAAAAACTCATTAAATCACTCAATGGCTTGATCAATTGATTAATTGAAATAATTTTCTCTAATTGAATTCGATGAAAATTCATTATCATTCAGAATAAATTAAATTCATAAATTAATTAATGAGATCAATTGTTTAATTCAATAATTATTGTCATGAATAGAATGTGATAAGAATTAATTGTCAATGACAATTAATCTGAATTAATTACCCCACCGATTTTCCTGAAGAGAATTTTCTAAAAATCAATTGAAAAATGCATTTTTCAATCATTAGTAATATTAATAATAATTACCTTAGCATTGACAACAGGTACAATATTAATCCACCTCGGCTTGACAGGTATATTATTTATTGCTATTTGATTGAGCTGCTGAAAGCGATCTGCCAGCAGCAAAAGAATTGATGAGAACTTGACTATTGATATCGCAGTGCCGATGTACACCAGGAGATAGGATACGTTGTCCCACCAGGATTGCACAAATGCAAACATTCCCAGACGATGGATAAACAATATCATGACGAACGCCACCACCAGAGCTGACCAAACAAAAATCCCAGCTCTTCGCTCGCTCCTGGCATACCCCAGCTCCCGAATTTTCTCGTCGTAATCTTGAATCGAATTCCAGATTTTTGTGAATGTCAGACGATAGTACAACGCAATGAAAATGTCCATCAGCGACACCAAGAAGTTGAAGACTGTCTGAAAATAGAAAATACTAATGCAATATCAATCAATAAATAGATCTAGCTGTCATACGAAAAAAAAAAAAAAAAAAATTGATTTTCAATTTTAAAAATATATATCGATTTTTTATAATAAGAGCAATTTTGGATTTTTAAACAAAGATAAATAGATAAATTAGATATTTAAAAATTAATCAACTGGTGGACTGTAGATAATTTTTTAAATTATTTTTTTGTTCATCATTAATTTGATATTAAATCCGATAATAGTTATCTGATAAAAATTGTGATAAAAATTAATTATCCCGCATCCTCCTGATTCAATAAATACCTTGACAGTCTCCGTGTGCCCCAGGAGAAGACTCCCTCGATCGACATGATAAAATCCCGTCAAAACCCCATAAATAATATAAGAATATCCAAAAATCCAGACGAAAGAAAAAATGGCATTTCCACACGATGGAACGAGGGTATCATCAGCGAACTCATAGGGCGCAACTCCAAATATCCTGAAGATGTAGACGAACGGGCAGACTGCAGTGTACAGACGGGATTCCGAGCCCCTCAGAATCACTGGTTTTTTCGCTTTCATTTTTCCTGAAAAGAAAAATGGAAAAAATAAATCGAGGAGTTAGTCATTGTTGAAATCACTGGATCACTCTGAATTTCAATCACATTTATCACTCCCGAAGTCATCCTTGTCTGAAATCATGAAAAATCACGTGGAATCACTTCCACCGATTTGAAATCACTTAAAATCATTCGAAATCATTGGAAATTCTATGAAATCATGAAAAATCATTCCAAATTGAGTGAAATCATTTGAAATCGTGCGAAATCATGAAATCACTAAAAGTTTTTCAATTCACGTTTAAATCATCTGAAATCATGTGAAATCATCTCGAATCATCTGAAATCCTCTGAAATCATGAAATCGTAAAAAATTTTTCAACTCAATTTGAAATCAGCAATAATTGTCTCATAATATTCGAAAACGAATACCACCTTGGAAAAAAAATCGTATGAAATCACTTCCAATAATTTTAAATCATGTTAAATCATCTCGAATCATCAGAAATCATGAAACCATGAGAAATCTTCGACTCACTTTGAAATCAACAATAATCGTGTCACGATATTCAAAAACGAATAACACCTTGGAAAAAAAAAAAAATCGTGCCAACTGGCAATTTCAGTGGCAATTATGGTGTTATTCAAGAAGTGTTTCATCATTTTCACAATAATGGAGGGGGAATTAATTGTCCAGAGGTTTACTGGAAGTGGTTGCACTGGAGGTCTTCGTGTATATAAGTGGATTTTACCCTCAGGTACTATCAAGCCTCAGGAGGACAACAAATTGATGGGATTTGCCTGGCTGTTGTTGAATCGTGTTAGAGCCATTAGTTATCTCACCATTGTGCAACACTTGCACATCATATCGATTTTACCTGAAAACGACAGGTGAATAAACAAACAAATGGTGGAAAACAAATTGATGTGATTATGAAAAAGATTTTTTTATCTCTTTGTGATTTTCTATTCTCCATGCGGAGAATTCACGATTCAAAAATTTTCACTAGGCAATTATTCAATTAAGAATATTTCAACTTTTGTCGAGTCTTAATTGACAATTCAATTAAAAATATTCAATTAAGATTCAATGGGAGAATTATTCATTGGAGCGTTAGACTTTTTAATGAATAACTCTGGACTGAGGCCAGATATCGAAATTCTTGTAATGACCTTTTTTCTCCGGCTAATTGCAAGGTATAAAAAAGGTCATTACAAAAAATGACTTATCTGTATTAGATTCGGAGATTTTCTCGTAATAAAATCAACAGCAAGTACATAAAACGATAATTGCATCTTTCGTTTTATGGTTTTCAATGATTATATCAAAAATTAGGACAGATACAAAAATTTTCATGAGTACCTTTTTTATAGGTCTAGGGCCGATCTAGAGAAAAGGTCATGACAAAAATAGTGCTATCTATTCTACAATCTGAGTTATTCCCCGAAAACACACTGCTGAATGGAGAAAAAAAACTTTTCTCAAGATATTGAGTAAATGATAGATAAAAAAAATTTAATGAAAATAATATCCAGGATATTCTGGAGAAATGCTTTAACCGTGCAACTCACCCAGAAAGTAATTTCCCACCCCCTGAAAATGTATTTTCCGCTGTTCAATTTTGTTTCTCAATTCTCGTTGCACCCTTACGTCATGTCCTGAATGAAAACTAAGTAAACCAACACTCTCCACCTGTTTTCAAGCACAATACATGGGCTATGTAACAATATTACATGGCTCGATGCATGTCGTGATGTGACTGGTTGGTTACGTGTTGCTAAATATTATTTTATGTCATGTACGATGAATTATTGAAGTACACAAAGTAGCAGAAGTTGTTTTTCTCTGGTCAGTTGTTACACTTTATTTAATCTCACAATAATGAAAAGCACTAAATTGCAAAAATCACTCATTCAGGTGGATACTGGAGTATGACGAATAGATTAATGAAAGTATTAAGCAATTAGACAATTGATAAAATGTCATGTGGCATTTAAAAAAAATTTTACAAAACGTCAACAATGGATTAATACATTTTTTAAATTAAAAAAAAAAAGATGAGAAGTATTAATCATTAATTCAATCAATTAACTCTTAATTATTATTACATAAAATGCATTTTGGGTGTCCTCAACAAAAATAATAAAATGGAAAAAATGAATAAAAAAAAATTTTTTTTTTATTGAATTAATTAATCAATTTTCCAAAAAATTCCGGAGAATTAAAAAAAAACTGAATTTCAGGCGAAAGGGTAAAACATCCCTGATTACCACTCACCTCTCCCCTCCCACCCCTCTCAATTTAACTAAAACCATTTTCCATATTATTAATGAATGAATTTTCCCTAGGCCAAAATGAATAAATTAATTAAGCTTTTGGAAAATCATGAGACTAATGACTCATACGGATGAAATTGGATCGCATTCAGGAGTAATGCCGAAGGTACAATACGAAAATGTCATATTACATGAGCATTAATGCTAATATCACATTTCAGTTGAAGCTGTGATATACAATAGATGGTCATGATAATAATCCCTAGATGAGCTAGGGTGAAGTGAATGGAGAAAGACAGGTGTGATGGGATTTGGACATGTCGTGAATTCATCCTGAGAACAAAACCAAATTTCCCTCAAGACATTTGGGATGGAAAAAACATGTAAACATCTGATGAAATTTCATCTGATGAACTGAAACTATGAAATAATCCTCCAAAATATTTCCTTACAACTATTTAAACTCAATTACACTGAGAGATAAATTAAGTTAAATTATCCATCCATATATAAATTATAATAATTATACTATCAATTTTTTGATTTTTCATTTAGATAAAATTTTTTTCGTGAATTAGATTAATGAAAAAAAACTTAGAGGAAATTCTGGAAAAATGTTATAATTGCAAAGCCGAATTTTCCACACATTGTATTATTTATTTATCATTTTTATTTTATTATTATCATTATTATTTTAAATCGGTGAAGTACTCGAGTATCTTGAGAGCGCAAAGTGCAAAGATAAATAGAAAAGTCAAGAATGCAATTATAAATCGTTCTCGAGAGCTAAGAAATATGTTGAAATTTCTGGTACAAGGAGCTTTCGTGCTTGCAACAAAGTGCATATTCCCTGGAATACCCCAGACCCAGAGGTCTGTCATTCATCCACGTCAACCCCCACAGAACAAAAAAAAAAAAAAGAAAACGAAATACCAAAGAATTTCCAAAAAAAAAGAAAAGAAAAATCGTAGAAATTTCCCATCAAGACGCAATTCAGTAATTTGACGAAAGGAAAAACTTCAACAACAATTTTCCATTCGATTAATCAATCCACCACTTCATAATTAACTGGTAATTAACCGGTAATTGCCGATTTACGGCGATTAGGTTTCTTTTTTTTAATAAAAAGTGATATGAAGATTTTTTTTTCAGTCAGGGGATGGAGCACGTGTGGGAAATTGATGTATGAATCTGTCGGCTAAAGAAAATGAGAATAATGGAGTAAGAACTGAGAAGATCAATTTGTCAAAATGCTTAACCGAGATAACTCATCGATTCTTGTAATATCGATGGATTGCCATTAAAGACCGGTCATTTCTCAACAGCCCCCAAGTCTTCCACCATAATATCTCTATTTTCCAGAACTTCACGAGAAACTGGGGTGTCAGATGACTCATATAAGAATTTTATTCCATTTTTTATTATTTAAATTGAATGTTTTTCATCATGATTTTGTAGATAAATCTGAATGAATCCACAGAAATATTAAAATTCAATGAAAACAAATTGAAATATAAAGAAAGCAATATAATACCCTTGTCCTGGGGTCAATAGAAAAATTTCCATCGAGTGTGAAAAACATAAAAAATTCAATGAGTCGGCTATATTTTCCCTCAAATTTTTCATTCACTGGAGTATAGAGGAGAGTATAATGAAAAAAAATTCCATTTCCATCGGAGGAAATCATTAAAAAAAAAAAGGGAATGGATACGAGTGACATCGGAATTAATCCCCACGTCCTCGATAAAGAAGAGTGAACAGTAGTTTCATTTGTATTTGTTATAACTAACTACCAATCACCCGAAAATAAATGATTTGCAGCTGTGACGTACGATGAAAATTGCGATGCAATTTTTCTTTCAATTATCCCTCCCACTGTCACTAAATCGATACCGATTAATCGCCGATTGTCCTATCAACGTCGAGATGAAATTTAATTGAAAATTCACTCATTCGTCGATACCAGAATTTTATTTATTTAAAAATCTAATTCCCATTTTTCGTTAAAAAAAAAATGGAAAGATAAGTAGATTTTCGGTTAATTAATGTGAATTACGTAAAAATGATAATAATAATTCAAAAAGTGAGAATTAAAAGAATTCTGTAATCAAATGATAATGTGCAATAATTAGATCAGTATGATTTCATTGAAATCGCGATTTATCTCGAGAATTATCGATTTCCCGAGAAAGTACCAAGAGACCGATTTTCTGAAAAAATCGATCGACCCCAAAAAAGTCCATTATCATTTCCCCCCAAAATCGATACTTCCCTCGATAAATCGATAATCACGAAAACCGTAAAATTCAATTTGTCCGCTCTCGCCACCGACAAAAATCCCCCTAAAATAAAAACCTCCAACCGTCAAATAATAATAATAATAAAAATAAAAAACAATTACCGGAATTATCTCCGACTGAAATTTCGAGTTATTGCGATCGATTTCAAAGCGAATTGTCACGGATTCACCGGCGCAAGTTGAATTTCCATCTCTCTATTTAGATTTTTTTTTTTTTTGTTTACAAATGGGCCACACTGGAATTCCGGGAATTCCCAGTTAACATGAGACAGAAAGAGAGAAAAAATAATTCAACGATAGAGGGACGTTCTAAAACCATTCGAAAAGTCATAACGCACCCAACGCCACCGGTGAGTACAAGAAAGTTGTCCATTGTTTTGTTTTTTTTTTTTTAATTTTATCATCCAGAACAAGAGAACAATACGAGTTCCGGCACGTCAGATATCAACTGCCAGCTGTAAATTTTTCAATCAAATTGATTGAATCATATTTTATGAGAAACACGTGAAGAGACGGTTATAATGTCGGGGAGAAAAAGACCACAGAGCAGAATAAAAAATGCTATGAAAGAGGAATTGTTGAAATGGTTGTGCATTCAACATGCTACACATGCACCATTGAACAGGAATATCCTGAGACTCAAGGCCAATGAATTAGTTGGACGTTTTGACTTGACATGTGAGTATCAAATTCTCCAGTACTTCCATTATCACCAAAAATATCACCCCTCCCTCAGAAAATTTGCATTTATCTCGAGAAGGAGTCACTCCACAGAAAAACTCAAAAGACATTTTTTATAGTTCGTCAAATTTCCGAAAAAACATGTCTTTTCATATTTTTTTCTAGCACGCCTGGTTTTGGAGATAAATCGAGATAATCAGCCGAACTGAAGTCAGATTGTTATTGTCTGAAATTCTGTTGACTGGGGTTTATCTCTTGAAGGTGATGTTTTAGAGGAAATGTCAGAGGAACTTTTTTATAGGCCGTAAAATTCCCGAGAGAAAATGTCATTACAAGTTTTCTCCAGGACCTCTTGTCTCGGAGATAATTGAGGCCAATGAGAGGAATTATTTGCAGGATGAAGTATAAAACAAATCGAATTGCCAGATTTCAATTGTTAGACATTGAAATTGTCTGATTAATAATTTTGGGGCAGTTTTACTGTAGATCATTCAATAATTAACCTAAATTGAATCATTCTTGTTTATTTCTTACGCGCATCCGCGATGAGTCCTTGAGACATGAGTCATTCATAGAAAAAGAAAAAAAGAAATGAAAGGAATTTTGAAAATATCTCGCTGAAAATTAAAAATAAATTGTTTTCGTGGACACGTGCCATTAATTATCGATATCTGGGTCAGTTCTGCATAGAATGAACCGGAAAATGTGTCTTCCGATAGGTGAAATATGGATCTGCATCGCGCACAAAATATCGAATACCTGATAAAATAAAGAGAACACTCAATTCAAGAGGAAAACCTCAAATAACTTTTTTTTAGCTGATTAAATTCTCTCCAAAAAACATATTCTGACATTTCCCCCTACAATCACCAGTTCTTCCGATAAATCGATACTTAACAGAACTTGAATTTCCGTCATGTCCTTTAATTCGTCTTTCCATTCTTCTTAATCACTGATTTATCTCGTAATCAATCAATTTAAGGGGAGAATGTTAACCAACTTTTTTATAGCTAATTAAATTCTACACGAAAAACCTCCCCTCACAATTTCCCCTAAACCCTCTATTGATCCCACAAATCCCTATTTTTCAGCCTTCAAATGCGCGGAATCCTGGCTAACGACATTCCTAAAACGCTACCACTTCCCGGCAAACCTCGCCGAGGGTGTGGGTCCAATATTCGATGATTACCACACCTGGGTGGAGATGATTCACGGTCTCATAAATCAGTACAGCTACGATGACCAGTACCACCTGGACGAGTTGACAATGTACACAGACTTCAGTCCATCCACCGTGTACCAACCAGAGATCACACCAGACGCACCAGTGGACATGTCAACGCTAAAACTAGATGTAACAACCCCCTCGATGTATCAAACGACAATTCTCCTCGTCTGCAACGCAACAGGAACTCAAAAACAAAAACCCCTCATATCATCCCCTTATCCAGTCCAGAATAACGAGAGCTACGATTACATCCAGAACGACTCCTCCAGGATCACCGATGAAATCCTCTCAGCATACCTCTTCATGGTGAATCACCAGATGGCTGAAAAGGGTCGTGTAATTCTCCTCTTCATGAGCCGTACGAGAATAAATATTTTAAAAATGGTACGTTTCACCCACATTCTCCCTGTTTTTCTCCCGTACCACTTTCCATCCCACCTGAAACCCCTCCGTCGTGACGTCTCCCACTGCATCAAGATGTCCTACCGAAAATCCTATATTACGAGACTTTTATCCACGGAGGATGGCCTGTGGACACCCCAAGACATCTCCCAGGCACTCGTCGACTCCTGGCTTCAATTGCCCCGAGAGATCATCATCGTGAGATTTCAGAGAACTAAATTCCGCACTGACGAGTCCTCTTTGAGCTTCGAATGCCCAGAGTGGGAGAGTCTGGAGACTGGAGTCCCCTTCGAGAGATTTGTCACCTTCGACGACGACCTGGGGGATGGTCCTGGTCCCATGAGGGAAGACCTCAGGTTTTTATCCAGAGTTAAAATGCAGTTTAATCTGAAAAATTCGAAAGCCACTACAGGAGCTGGTCCCCAGCCCCAGGCGGGCACTTCCAGAGAGGAACATCTCCAGAGGACTGGTGAAAATCATCCTGGAGTGGGGAACATCCAGGATGGAAGAGCTAATCCTGTGAAAACATCTATTCTGATGAATATCAAGAGTGAGGAAATTCATTCTGGAGGAGCTGAAGACAAGACTCCTGCTGAAGTCCCTCTACCAAATTCCTCACCAGATACTCCCCTCAATGAAACGAGTGATACTGCCACACCAGTGACAAAACTATTCCCTGAAGATGGTGACTCCTCCCTGATTGAAGCAAGTGAATCGACAAAATCAGAAGACACTGAGAGTCTCATGTCGAGAGTTCACTCGATGGTTGATGACTTTGACTCGAGCCTCGATAATTCTCTGGTTCCGGATGATCCAGGAAGGATGAGAGTGACAGCTGTCAAGGATTTGGTCGATTCTGGGGTGCCTGATTCCTCAGTTGAACCCCTGGACTCCCCTGACGATAAAAGGAATGAAACAGTTGAGATTTCCTCGTCGATGGAAGTAGAAGTCGGTGATAATCCCCTGGATACGAGCCCTGGTGAACCCTCTAGTCCTCATGACACCCCAGAATTATCAACTAATGCTTCATTTCCTACTTCATCAATCAGAGGTGATCAGAATGAAGGGAATGGAAATAATGAAGAGAATTCTTCAGCCTCGATCCTCACAGTTCTCGTTGATGATGTTCAGGGCACCTCTCCGGGTGCTGTGACCTCTGGATTCATAGATAATCCATCCACAGGGTATTCAGACCTCCAGGAGGTGCTTGATACATCGACTGAAGAGAAAATAATCACTGCTGCACGTTTTGTTGATGAGAAAATGAATTATTACGCTTCAACTGTTGATCGTAATGGAGATAATGTAGAGAATTGTGATGGGTTTGAGAGGGAGGATTTAGTGGGTAAAAACGAGGGCTTGGTGAACACCTCGCGAGCTGATAAAGTAGATATTCCAGGTATAAACACACCAAGAATTGCTGAAGAATTGACTGATTGCGAAAAGCCCCTCATTGTAAACCTGAAGAACTCTCCTGAAGACATTCCCGACCCCATGGAGTATTCAGCGGCCTTCGAAGATATCCCACCACTTCCTCAAGTCGTCGGTAAACCAGGAACTCTCTCCAATAATTCCACAAAGTTTTCCTCAGTCGTTAATACTCAGGGAGAAATTCCCCTTGATGCTTCCGGAATTTTTAAACCAATTATTATTAATCTGTCGACATCAGAGGTATATCCTGGGGTCCAGATGAGAGCTCTCACGACAACTCCAGTGATTCAAGATAATTACGATACCGAGAAGATCTACTCCACCGAGACAGCCCTGCAAGAGGCATCGAGAGAGCTAGAGGAGAAACTCAGGGATTTGGAGGCCAGTGATTCATCGAGGAAGATCTCCAATTTTTTGGATGACGATGACAACTCAGGATCAAGCAGAAGCAATGAAGCAACTTCTCTACTACGAGATATTCTCAATGAGGCGAAGGAACTGAGTGAGACAGAGTTCAAGGGATTCTCTGAGAAGTATCTCCTGGAAGAGGGGAGATGTACGAATTATTGTAGAGGTATCAAGAGGCCCCAGGAAGGGGATGACGAGCTACCAGATAAGAAGAAGTTAATGAGCCAGGAGAACTGGGCCAAGTGCTTCGAAAATTTTCCAGTATTTGGTCCCTACAACTCCGAGAGTGAACCCAAGGATTTCAGAACTGATGTCAACCAGAGAGAGGAGTCATGTGTCTTCACATGCAGTGAGGAGACCCTCAACCCTGGGCCCTCGTCCTCAGAATAAAACACGACCCCTTGAATTTTTGCTCTTGCGAGAAGCAAAAATTGTTTATCATTATTATTATTTTCATTCTGTTTTCGAGTTGATTTGTTTTCTCGTGGAGATGTTGAGCGTCTCCTCGAGATTTTCATCTAATTTATCTAGAATTCAATTCTAATTATAAATTAGCTCTGATGTAGGAAGAATTCTCTCTTGTCTTTATGAAGATTAAATCATTTTTTGAGTTTATTTTTATTCTTTCAATTCTTGAAGACAAGAATTGAGATTTCTTTGTATTGATTCGTTTGGCAAATACAGAATTTTGGTAATGCCTGAGTTTATTTCCATTAATAAAATGTTTAAAAATTAATTCAACATTTTTACAAGGGTTAATCCATAAATTGATAAAGTTCCTTGATCGGCTGATCCTTTACATTTTTAATAATCTTCAAGGCTTCATCAAGCAACACCTTGTGCACATCCTCGACCTCCTGATTCCCCTGAATAATCCTCCAGGTGTCATCCTTCAACTTTAAAAAATTATCAGCAACTTTTCGCTGAAATTCTTGTTTTTCAAATCGTTCATTAGCCCACCCACCACGTGTCGTCAAGACTTCATCATCAATAGCCAAAAAACCCACAAAATCAGGAGCTGGAAGTCCCCTATCAGGATGCATACACCAGGACAAACTCCTCTTCGTCGAGACAGCTGCATAGGCAGCACCAGAAGCTGCATATCTACAAGTGATTGGCAAATTCATGGAAAACTAAATGAAAAATATGAAAATCCATTCTTCACCTGTCGACTACCAACGTCGTTCCATTTTCAAGGGCTTTCCTGAGATAGCCCACACACTCCCACCTATTCGCCGAGAACAGCAAGTGCATTGTTTCAGGTGGTAAATCCTTTTTATTCGTGAGAAATTCATCTATTACTTTTCCAATTGTTGTACTTCGATCTGAAATTGAAGTGAATGATAAGAGAATATGGAATTCAATCGAATCGATGACTAAATGGCTGCTCACCCGGAAATTTACGCTCTTCTGTGGTAATTCCAAGATCATTGAGTGCTTGAACAAGTTTTTTAACTTGAGTAGATTTTCCTGCCCTATCACAGCCCTCAAGAACGAGAAGAGCTCCTCGAGACATTTTTATCACCTCTAGTACTTGAGTACCATCAATTTTCTTTCACTCTATTGACTCGATTGTTTTGGCGGGAGATTTCAGACCGCCATTCTCCCTGCGATCAGCTGATCAGCCAGACAGGTTAGAACGTGTGCGTTTCATTCAATTCAATTGATTTGAAATTGTCTTGCGTTAAAGAAAATCATGGAGAACGATAAACAACCGCAGGACGATGAAGAGAGTACGGAATGGATTTATGGATTTCGCTCTGGGAATTTATTTATTATTGATGGAACCGGTGGAATGCATGAAAATTCTGGGGATGAGTCTGTATCGTATCTCCAACAGACTCTCGAAGTGAGTAAATAAATATTTTTAATCTTCGTGACCATGGGTTTTCGAAAACGTGAATTTTAATTATATAGATGTGTTGAACATCCTTGAATGAGAATTTTTAGATTCTGAGAAACGAAAATCACGAAAATTTCATTTTTTATAAATTATCAATGAAAAATGTGAAATGATTTTAATAATTATCTTCTAGATGTACGAGAGAATTCTCAGGCAGAAATTATGTCGTAATAAAGACGATTGGATGGGTCTAGTGCTGTTTGGAACGACTAGAAAAAATCCCAACTCAAATTTTCAAACTCTCCTGGAATTTGGGCCTGTCACTGTAGAAATGCTGAAGGAACTCCTAAATATTCGTAAGAAAATCCGTTAAAAAATCGGTAGCCAATTATTTAATTATTTGGCTGGGCCGATTTTTTTATACATCAAATAATTTTATAAATTTTAAATAAATCCTTGAATTTTTCATTTCAATTAAAAATCCCTCAAATAATTTTTTTGGCAGATATTTTCCCTGAATAACAAATAAAAATTGAAATTTCAGTTGATAATCTGCAAGACCTGACACCCACGTCGCCCTTGGACACCTGTCCCCTCTCCGATATCCTCCAGCACGCAGCTCGTGCCTTCGACTCAATAAAAATAAAAATGCCCTTTCGCCAGGTGAATCTCATCACCTGCAACGACAATCCCCTGTCAGACAATCCCGAGGAGAAACATCGAGCTCGTATTCTATCAAAAGCCTTCCACGACATCCAAGTGACCCTGAAGGTGATAGGTTTCGGTGAAAATTGGGATTTCGACGTGTTTTACAAAGAGCTAGAGATGCTGGCCTCCAACAGCGACATAGAACCCAAGAGATTCCGACCGATCCACCTGGAGGGTCAAGTCATGCAGAAATATTGTAACAAGGGAAATGTCGATCTAAAAATTGGTGACCAAGTCCTCATAACAGTTGAGCTCCAGTCATTCACCAAGAGGCACTCACTCCGAATGATTTTGATGAATAAAGAGACTAACGAGCCCCTGGACAGCTACTCCAAGTACGAAAGAGTGGATTCTGACGACGAAGACAACGAAGACGACGGCCCGGACGGAGCTAATAAATCGAGCATCAGAAAATGGCAGCACGTGGGTGGACGAGATATTCTTCTGACCCTGGACGAGGCCAAAAAAGTAGTCCAATTGAAGCCCAAGGGTATTGAGATTCTCAAATTCCAGAAAGAACCAAAAAATCCGTTCCAGTACCACGTGAAGCCTGTCCTGTTCCTGGGACTCCCCAAGAACGCACCACTCGGTCACAGAAAATTTTTCGCCGCTCTCTACCTGAAATTCCAAGAGAGAGGCCTGATGGCCGTTTGCTCAGGATCAACCAGAAAGAACTCCAAATCATATATCTACAATATGTTGATATGCCCTGAGTTCCACGGTTTTTATCTCTATCACGTGCCCTTCAAGGAGGAAATCAACAGAACAATGGACGAACTGTTTCCCCAGTACTGTTTAACACCTGGAAACTCTGGATTGAATGACAAAGAGAAAATCGAGATAATGGAGAAGTTGATGAAGAAGTTCAGGATATCGTACACACCAGCTGTATTTCCCAATCCCAAGATGATGAAGCAATTGCTATATATCTTAGCACTTGCTCTGGATGAGAGGTGGGATGAGACGAAGTACTTCGAGGATTATACTAAACCTCCCAATGATTTGCTCGAGAGGAGGCTCAACAGAAAGGGATTGATCGACAGATTCTTTCAATTATTTCCAGAACTCGAGGAGGTGGTGACAGCTGTCAAGATTTTCAAGTACGACAGACAGACTGCTGAGAGAATGGCTGCCAGCCCCTCTCTAAAGTCCATGACTGTTCAACAGTTGAAGGGCATCCTCAAGGCTCTCGATCTATCTGCTACTGGAACCAAGTCTGTTCTCATCGACAGGATTCAGAACTACACCCCCGTCTAGGATTCGATCCAAGTATTGAAGATAAGAATTTCCCTTGATATTTATTCCTATTTGAATAATTGACTTATTTAATTTTCAATAACAAAATGATAAGAAATGCTATGTGCATCTGTTGTATAAATAAATAATAATAAATAAATATTTCAAAATTTCGGAGAAATCATTGATTGGAGTTTTTTTTAAAATCAATTTATCCCGAAAATGATCGATTAATATAAAAAGGATTAGAGAATTTTTCTTCTGATTGGATTTCTCTGAAAGAAAAATCTCTAAATCATTCATGAGAATAGAATAAAATGTCAGTAGAATTTTCATTAAAAAAAATGAATTCATCAAGACATAAAAAATCCAAATGAAATTGAACAATTCGATAAATTTATTGAATTTGTAAGTTAATATAAAAATATTTCGTAATGAATTCTGTTTACGTGTACGAAGGCAAGTCTGTGTTTAAGAGTATTTTCATTTTTTTTTTCTCAATTATAATTCTTTCGCGGGATCTTCGAGTTTTGAAAGTGGCTGGAGTGAGCCAGGCTGCACCCAAGAAAATCCAGTGGGCGTTCTCTCTGGTTCCTGTTTCTACAATGATAATTAATTTTCCAATTGATGATGATTTTCTTTTCTCTAGCTGTAATTTCACTCAATATTCTCACCTTTGGTTGAAAAATCTTCTGTCTAGTCAATTCATGTAACTCTGGCCACCAAGAAGTAAATGTTAGATAATGAGGATCATTAGTCTCTGGAGGATCGTACAAGTGGTCTAAACTCTTCAGTATACATTCTCTCACACGAGATTTAAAACTTTCTACATTATTACATAATCTGAATTTAAAACAGAGAAAAATAACAGCTGGATTATCGTATCGCCAAATTAGAGTTAAATTTTCATTTCAATTGATCAAACCATCAAAAACCACGAATGGACACTTAAAAACAATTAATCAAATTTAATTAATAATTCGTTTAATTAAATTAAATTGATTAATTAGTCTTGGATGCCTAGATCATTATTTTACAGATGATGAATTGATTGAATTAATGAAATTCGAGAAGATAATAATGACTCACAACGTTGAGGCTTCGGAATTTGTTGAAGGCAGTTTTCCATCAACTTTATTAAACACTTTAACTATAAATTGTATTAATTGGTATATCCTGTTGTTTTTTTTCCACTCGGGAAAACCTGCAGAGGTGTTGAGCTCATTTGTCTCGGGATAAATAAGTGGATGGAAGACTTTAGATTCGAAGGCAACTTTCTGCGAAAAATATCTCCCATTATTTATCGATACCTCTCACGCTACATCGAGAAAAAAAAAAACACCAAAAGTGTAGAAAAAAATCTTGTGCCGAATATATTAATTATTGAAAATTTTCTTTCCCTTTTCACCCCACCCCAGGGATTTCATCTAAAATTTCCAATAAAAAAACAAGTCTAGACTTGGAAAAATATAAAAACAAAAATCCTGGATTCACATTAATAAAGTGTTGAAATTTCTCATGCAATTATTCCTTTGGGAGTTTTTAATTAACAATTCCCTTGGCCTGAACAAGATTTATCTCACAAATTGTTTGTTTTTTCCTCAATATTTTTTTACATACGGGACATCCACCGTCTGGAAAATTTTCAGGCAGAGTTATCGTGAACCTGAACACAGCACCCCGATAAAACCCTTTATTAACGAACAGAACTCCAAACCACACTGCAAACAAATAAACAGTTTCAATGAACAACCAAATAAAAATACCACCATCTCTACCGATTGTTTTTTTTTCACCATACCAAAAGAACTCTCCGCTGATGGAATAACATATATTCCCCGGAGATCGTGTTGCTGAAGATGATGACTGGAAAAAATTCCAAAAATCTAACATTTCCAAACTCATTGACTCCAAATCTTAAAAAATCCCACGAATGAGTGATTTTAGAGGAAAAACTCAGAGACAACATTTTGTGGGAATTTTTCCGATCTACAAAAAATTCCCCTAACATTTTCCTATAGGACCACTTCCTTCGGGGTTAATAGAAAAAAAACGCATTTCCTCGACTAAAATTTCTTACTATTCCGCCAAAATATTGTACTCCTGTAGATAAACCAAGTGGTCACCATTTCCGGAGATAGTCTGAGGACGATCGATCATTCTGATAGATGTATTGAGCTGTGAATCCCCACCAGACCCACCAGGCAATATTTTCCTGAATGAGCCCTGCCTCTTGAGGCCCTCATCGCCCTCCTCCTGTCAAAAACATCCGATTAAAAACGAAACCCCAAAACTCCATGAAAATCAAAAAAAAAAAAAAAAAAAAACCTGAAGATCTCACCTTTGAGCTCGATCCTGCACCTTTAACGTTCATAATCTCAAATAAAACCCAAACCTCTAAAAATCCTGCCCTTCTAACTCCTCACCATCTCCAACAACTGACGACAACTGCTCTCAACTCCACAGCAAAACAACAAAACCAATTACATGACTCAACTAATGAATTTATCCCAACGAGTTAATTAATTAACCCAACACAACCAGAACGAAAAAGCCAGCCAACATTTCATTATTTTTTTCTTCCTCTCCCAATTTTTACCACCGCCACGCCCTCAATACACAACTCCTGGAACTTATCATTATTGTTAGTCTTTTTTAGTTCACGTATTTGACACACCAATACCATCAAAATATTGTTGAGTTGTTGAAGAATACCTTGGACCAGGATTAAAACACTTGTTAAACTTCCCATGAAAATAACAAATAACTATATATTCACCAGCAAATGGTTGTCGTACATTTGTCGAATGTGACAAGTACTCGTGATAAACTATATATTTAGAGAGTTTAGAGGTAAAGTGTTATATATTATCGAGGTGAAATGGCAGCTGAGATAAAACCAGCGCCCGGTGCTAATAATGACAAATTCAGTACGAGCCGGAAGCCAATACTTATGTCCAAGTTGGAGGGATGCAATGACGATGTCAATGCTGCTATTATCATACCGAAGGAGGATGGTGTCATCAGTGTTTGTGATGACAGGTCAATTTTTATATTTCAGATATTTGGTCTTTTAATATTTTTGTAACTCTTCATTTCAACAAAACCTTAAGATTTTCATTGAATATCAAAAATATTCTTTTCATATCATATTATCAATTATTAATTTATTATTATTATTGTTTATTCCTAATCATTAATTTCGTAATAATAATAGAATCTAATGAATAATTTCCCGACCATTATTCACTTTGAAAACTATCAAATAATTCGAGTCCCGATTTCATGAAATAAACGCATTAATCCTCAGTCATCGATATCACTTCAACCAATAATGCGATGCGGATGCGTCGAATTTCGTTTTGAAGATTGCAAAAATACCTTGAAAACGAGACCAACTTCCTCGGATTTCACTCAGCGAATCCGGAGCTATTGACGCTGGAAATCTTAAAATGAATACATTTCAAGTTTTTTTTCAGATTTTAGGATAAATTTGGTTTAATCCATCAATCAACTTCTAATTCTTTGGTTTCAGGACTGTCAGAGTATGGCTGAAACGTGATTCTGGCCAGTACTGGCCCAGTGTATGCCAGTACATGGCAGCTGGTGCCACAGCAATGTATTACCACGTAGAGACCAGAAGACTCCTAGTGGGTCTAGACAATGGATCAATTGACGTAAGAAATTCCTCGATGAATTCCCCTCCTCCACCACGACACCCCATAACCATCACCTAAATTCTAAAAGCCTTCATTACCCCGAACGAGTCGCCAAGCGACATTAAAATTAATTTATCTACACCTAGAGGCCTTCATATCGATTCAATTCTCTCCTATAGTTTACTTTCCCAAACGTCTGTATTTTTTTCTGAATAATCAATAGACCCCCACGCTTGAGGAATAAATAAACAATCGACAATTAAACCACCAGGAATTTTTGCTCGAGCAAGACTACAACAGAATGACAGCCATGAGAGAGTATCTGGCACATCAAGGACGAGTGACAGGAGTTGTTTTTTCGAGTGTCAATGCCTGGATCCTGAGTGTTAGTAGAGATAAATTATTCCAGCTGCACTGTTCAGAGACTGGAAGACGACTGGGATTTTTTGGAAGAGCAAAGTCAAGTTATCTAGGAGACAGTTGGTTCACAGCTCTCCAGTAAGTGCATATATTCCAAATTTAATCATATGATTTTCTAATTTTTTAAAATTATTTCCTATTAGATTTGACGAGCAATCTAAACACGCCTTCGTCGGGGATTACGGTGGTGAGATAACAATGCTCAAAGTCGATCCAAATTCCATAAGTCTTGTTGCCTGTCTGAGTGCTCACAGTGGAAGTATCAGAACCCTAGCCTGGGACTCTGAGAAGCAATTACTCTTCTCTGGTAGTTTCGATCAAAATATCATCGTCTGGGACATCGGAGGACGTCAAGGAGTCGCCTACGAACTCCACGGACATCGCAACAAAGTCACAGCCTTGTGCTTCGCCAGTAATGAAAAATTATTGCTATCTGGTGGTGAGGATGGAGTTATCGTGGGATGGAGTATGGCTGGCGCAAGAAAAGAGACTGCCACCTGGGAAGAATCTGATATTTGCCAAGTGAGAAATTTCGTTGACCTCGATTTCCTTATTTTTCCCATAAATTCTCCATTTTTCTTCAATTCATGCAGAAGCCCATGACAATATCAATTCAATTGAGAAAGTCTTCGAGGAATAACTGCGAATCTTCAAGAGATACCGAAACCGTTGTAAATACTTTTTTCTAGCTCTCGTTCTGCACTACGAAAATGGTTCCAATGGAAATTTCGGTATTCTGAAGAGATCTCCAGATATTTATGAGAGAAGAGTAGAAAACAATTCGACTAATTTTTTTTTATACTCATTTTTGGGAATTTTAATTGTCCTTTCAGTCGTGCTCAAGACCTTTCTTCTGGAACATGAAAGCAATGATGGATCAACGACAACTGGGACTGAGACAACACCACTGTAGAAATTGTGGTAGAGCCCTGTGTGATCGTTGCACCTCACAAAGAATTCCTATTCCTGCCATGGGATTTGAGTTTGAAGTCAGAGTCTGTGATCCCTGCCACATCCAACTGAAAGCTGCCAAGTGAGTTATTCACTTGAAATTATAAAAAAAAAAATGTAATTTATCCAATTAAAATCTATTCTTCATTTTAATTCCTCCAGTCAAACATCAATGGCATCATTTCACGATGCTAAACACAGCATCACAGCAATGGACCTGGACGTATCCCGAAGGAAATTATTAACAGTTGGCCAGGACCGAGTCATCAAAATCTGGGACATAACAGCCCTTCTCCAGCAATAAAAATTCCACTGTCTTATTAAAATCGCTAAACAAGTACGACGGGCAAAGATATACCCCCGATTGCATATTATTTTGGCTTAAGTGTGTCGAAATAGCTTCTCATCGAATCAAATTATCGAAATTAAATAATTACCTAGCATCGCTGATTTAATCAAGAAGATAAATTACTCTATTTTTGCCATAAAATCCAACTACTCCCTCATTAATCTTGAATAACAATTTTTCAATAACTGTAAATAATTGGGAAAATACCTCGCGAGAGAATTTGTACTTCAATTCGGGACAGATATATCCATCGAGTTTTTCTTTTTGTATTTCATTGAAAGGGAGATTGCTATCCATTTGAATGTAAAAATATAGGAATGGGCCGAATTTATTGTCTCACTCACGGAAAAATATTATTTCATCTTTTGAAAAAGAAGAATTTAAAAATCTGGGGAATTTTACAATAATATTATTTCACGAGTTCTCCTCGCGTTTCTGTGAGTCTAATTATTATTATGAATACCAATAAAATCACTGTTCCACCCTCACCATTTATTAATACTGTACATTACTCGATAGTACGAATGACCGCATGTCTGCTGCAATATGTTTCTACTGTCTCCTGCGTATCGAGTGATTAAAATATTGAATGATATACACGCGCTTCCATAAGTATTAATATACCGTCTGTGAGGGATTTTTATGTACAATTTTTTGTGAAAACTGTTGATTCTAGACGAAAATAACAGGAGACCTTTTTCGGAGAAAATTTAATTACCTAGAAAAAAGTTCTCTCTAGTTTTCACGCTGAAATCAATAGTTTTAGAGATAGAGAGATATCTAGGTGAGATTTTCGTTCAAACGAATTCTGAGATTCTGGAATTTTTGGAAATTCCTTCGGGGGGCATTTTTATAAATATTGAACATAAAAATTCCTCCAATACCCGAGGTAAACTTAAGATTATTATTAAATCCTCTTGGTCACTGTATCTACAATGCTTTATGTATAATCCATTCCACAGGCAGCCCCGTACTCTCCAAATTAAAATATCAATGTATGTACTGTATGTAACAAATATTAAGATTTAATTTCAATTTATTTTCAGAATGGTGATGTATTCGTTACTTAAGAACACTCGGTCATGTGTAAATTTGATCAAAAAAAAAAAAAAAAAAATATATGACGTTATAATAAAGAAAATCAAGTCTCTCATTTATTTATCCAATCCCAAATATTTTCCCGTGCAATTAATGATAAATTAAATTAGAAAATAAAAGGACAACAAAATCCATCAAATATTCAAAATTTTGAATAACCAATTCCTAATTTAATTCGAATTATCAATT